CAGTAGGAGAGCACCATTCCCTCTCCCGGAAGGAACATTAGCTGACATAAGCTCCTTTCATCCTCCTCTGAATCTTCTTTTCCATCACCATGAGGAGGGAATTCTAACCCCACCCTCACCATGACTCATTCGTTGTATTTCCATATCCACCAAAATACAGATGGGTATAATGATCTAAGGACATAATATCCAAACCTTCCTGTCATAATATCACATCCCCAACTCTGAGTTTATGTTCCCAGGTTGAGCATCAGAGAACCTTCGGGAGGGAAACTCCCTTCCGGTTCTCTCAAAGGCCCGACTCACTCGTTTCTAGTGAATGCAGATCTATGATCGACATATCACCTGAGGCCGCATATTTTTCATCCCCACAGAGGATTAAACTTGAAAACATGGCTCCATCACCCAAATGAACATACACCCCCTATAAGCATCATGTAAATTGCTCATGAACATCTACTCTTGAGTTTTCAATACATCTATTCATCATTGTAGGGTTGATTCAATTTCTATTTCAATCTTGATACCTGTTAATTTTCTCCTCTGACTATTCTGTTGAATCGGAAGGATTCCCTCTGAATCCTTTTTTCAATCATTCTACAACCATATCTGAAATCATATCTATCTTCTTCCACTACATCGGAAATTAGAATAGCATATTAAGAATACAAATAACTCACTATCTACAACCATATCTGAAACCATATCTATCTTCTTCCACTACATCGGGAAATTAGAATAGCATATTAAGAATACAAATAACTCACTAAGCTAAGCTAAGAATACTTTTGTGGTTTTTCAATAAAAGAGACTAAATACAAGTACATTGTACATAGATAAGTGAAAAAGACAAAATATATTAACTAATGATTTTAAACAAACAGAAACACACATACAAGATGGAAACAAAAAATCACCTTAAAGTGAAAATAAGCAAGATTGATTCAATAAGAGGAAATATGGGTCATAGGCTAAGATAATGGGTAATGGGTGATTAACAAACAACTACCGATGCTAGAACATTCGATCAAGATCAATTCCAAGACATGGATCTCACAAAATGGATTAGTTTATTTTATTGATACTAAGCCATTTATCAAAACGCTTAAATAGGTTAACCTTCCGATTGCAACTAAAAGATCAATAATCATTAAGCAAATGTCCACTAAGTCAATAATTCACCTTAATCATCAAGTGTCAATTGGCTAAGTATGAAAAACATGCTTATAGGTGGTCTAGACATTTTATCGAACACCTTACAAGTGTAAAATATCCAAGTTCTAAAATATGACTGTTCAGATCTATACTTAGCATTAAGGACACTCTCTAAACAAAACAAAATCACAAGAATCTAATCCTAAGCATCATTAATCATCTATCAAACTCTCTTAATCTACTAAGCCCACAATCCATAAAAAAAATTACTCACACATCATAATAATGAAAGCAAAAATAAACATTATAAAAGACATAATTAATAGAGATTCATAATATATTAAGAAAATTACACTAGATTAGGAAGAACAGATAAACGATCCAACATAAAAGATGAGAAAAAGTGTTTTGGTCTAAGGAGGCAAGAGATAATAAAAAGCCTAGGATTTTTGGTTTCTAAAAACATATTTATAGCACAAGAATTCGAATTGGATTGACCCGGATCAAACTGGGTCATATTCAACTTAAATCAAAGCAAATTCTTGCAGGTATTGTAGTGGTCGCTTTGAATTCTGGCATTGCCCGATTTGGTGCTCTAGGGGAAAATATCACAAAATTTCGCAGGTACAAGATTGGTCGTTCTGCATTTCTGGCATTGCCCGCTTTGGTGCTCTAGGGGAGATTTTTCTGCCAAAGTGACATGCCTTAACAAAAATTTTCATAACTTTCCAACCACTTACCGAAGTGACTTCAAACCAACGCCAAATGAAAGCTACTTCATTTTCCTATCCGGAAATCGAGTTCAGCTCCACATGAAACCAGGAAGGCTTTCATCCGAGTTGATCTCTTAGACAGCTTGTCGGGGCTCTGCATATTTGGGCAGTTGCAGGTTTCTTCTCATTTTCTTCTTAACCATTCCTCTTGCCAAGTCTCATATCCTATTGACTCCAATTAACCTGAAAATGACTTAAAGGACTATGCAAATGCATGAAATGCAACCTTAAGACACTGAAATGCATGATAAAGAAAAACAAGACACATGTATAAAAATAGCTAAAACATGGTCAAAACACATATCAAAACTAACAAAACAAATGTTAAGACGATGCAAGATACATGAATATCAGTTTTAAGCTATATTTAGGTTTTTCCAGCCATTGTTGGGTAAGAAGGTTTTATTCTATTTGAGACACATAGAGAGATTTGTTTCAGAACTTTTGAAGAGATAATTCTAGTACTCTTTGAGAGAAAAATTCGAACTTCTTATATCTTTTACTTATTTTTTTTTAGAGGAAATGCTCCAAAATAACTCATAATTAAAAAATAATGTGAAATGGATACTCCATTGAAGGAAAATTGTGAAAATGACCCTTATTTTATGATTTTTTAAATACCACCGCTACCCTTCTCACTAATTTTACTTGTAGCCTAATGGTACACTAATGGCAGACTGAATGCAGACTACTAGCAGACTGATTAGTTTTACAACTGAGTGTAGACTATTGGCAGACTAATGGCAGACTATATGCAAATTACTGGCAAACTAACATCAGACTAAAAGCACTAATGGACCTCTCTTATGAGTCATTTTAGGATGAGTCATGTTTTATAATAAAATTGTCAAGTGAGTCATTTCAAAAATTATCCATTTGTTTATGCAATCCATTCTTTCCATGATGTCAGTTTCAATCACCATGTCTGAGTAGTTTGATTGGTAGGATTAGAGTTATTCAAAGGTTGAAGATGAATTGTTAAATTTCAGTTTCTTCTAGTATAATCACATAGTTCTTCATCTAGATCGCATTAAACGCTACTTTTGGTTTGATCACCTATAATTCAGATCTTACGTTAATTAATAGATGCAAAAATATTATTGATTGCCAAAATTATCTTAGATGATCAAAATACATATTCACAAAGGAATTTGACTTAAGAGTTTTATAGACAATCGAGACTGAACATTAATGTTTGTCTGAATTGTTTGATTTTTCAAAGAAATTTAGGATTATAGAGTTTAGACATAAATAATCTTTGCAACAAAATTTGGTTGATTTTATAATTGTGTTTCGAGTTAAAAATCATATCTTTATAAGATCATAGCGGTTTTTTTTTATCTTCAATTTGAATTTACTTGAGAGTTTTTCAAGGTCTAGCTCAATGATTAAAACTCGATTTAACAACTCCTCCAACTGATTTTCATTAGTAGTTTCATTCTACATATTATTATCAGCTTAGCTTAATTCGAATTTAAAAATTTGCTGTGCAACATTAAATTTTTTAGCCAAATGATAACTCTTTTATACTATAACTGCGATTATGTGCTATGGTAGTGATTTTTCTAAAGTAAAACTAGAGTTATCAATTGATGATGTGATTCCCCTATCTCTAAATATTCAGTTTCAGATGATGGGAATAACTCGTGCCATTCACTATGGCCCATAGTACGATCCAAACAACATCAAGCATAGGGTTGAGAACATGAACTTTTTGTTACTAATTTGCAAAAAGGTAAAACTTTAATATAATGTATAACTATCATATGTAATTTTCTGTTTTTAAATTTTAATTATTTTTATATTTATAGTTTAACGTTTTAATTTTAATTCATAATCATATGATTACCCTATATCATGTAAATAGTAGGACCGGCGCTGATAGTGAAACAAATTTTGTCTTTATTTCCTATAAGACAAACGTTGAGCTGCGAGAACAAAAATCATTATTGCAAATTGAAACAATTTGTGACTAGTATACATTATAGGAACGATTAACTAAAATCATAGCAAACGTGTCGCATATCAATAGTAAATTTTACGAACGATTGAGGTGTTGATTAGTTAAGCGGGTACCATCCGCAAACACAACTTTTGCGGGTAGTAGCAATTGTGAGGTTTGATAACAATCATACAAGACGTTTTCAACTGCTTCTTACCGCTGCAGATTTTTCAAAATCAAAAACTCAACGTTCATGGTTGTGGGTAGACAACTAAAATTTTACAAAGTACAAAAAAATTTTAAAACCAAGATTATCTAAGAAAAAATAAAATATTATAATTATAAAATATATAAATAATTTTGGTACTTTCTAATTAATAATTATTAATCTTTATCATAATTTTATACGTGTAAAATATATAACCCAAACTTCATCACTAATACATAATCTCTCTGTTTAATAAAAAATATTTTATTTAAGAGTTTTTCACACATATTAAGAAATCAATTTAAAACTCTATTTTATCCTTTATTTATACACTAAATATATTTTTCATTCTAACTATAACTTGAAAACAATAAGCTTAAAATTAGATTTTTGTATACAGTTCTGTATTGAGATATGAATATAAACGATATTTTTTATGAAACAGAAAAAAAATTATAAAACAATATTCTTTGTGACACAGAGGAAGTATATCATAACAACTAAATTTTTTAAAATATAATCTTAGTCTTATAAAATATCTTTGTTCTATTTAAATCATAATTTTCTTGTAAATTAAAGAAATTTAAGAAGTAAATATAAATATTAGACATATATTTTTCTAGTTTTTATTATTAATTATTTTGAACTATAAATGTTTTATAATAACATGGTTTTTGAATTTTTTATAAATATATAACATATTTATATTATTTATATATAAATTAACAGCTACTGTATCCGCATATCAACCAGTCAAAAGTATCATGCAAATGTACTGGCTTTCAACTCCTATACTAACGCTGTCAACCGTAATTATCAGCTTCCGCAAACTCCCGCACCGCTGCGTTTGAATTAGTCAAGCCCTATGTATAGCGGCCTATATATGTGTCTTGCAGAATTATTGGAGTGCACGTAAGCTGACAAGATTGTGAAATCCTAGACATAGATTTAACTCGTCCATCATCTCCTCACTATCTTCTGGATTGTTGATTGCAACTCGTTTTAAACACCTAGAATTGGCAAGAATGTAGCTCACGAGTTCCTTCTCTTGGCTTCTTCCTCCATATCTTTTCCATTCAAAGATCTCGAGATGGTTTAACAAGCATTTGGGAACAGAACTCGGATGGTTCCAAGAAAGCGGGAAATCCTCTCTTAGATAGATCTGATAAGATGCAAGAGATATTAACAAATGAAATATACTTTAATATTTGGTCCATCAAAATTGTATGCGTTAATTTGTTTGAGGAAGGAGAAGAGTACGAACCAGGTCGATAAGAAGAACTTTTAGTTTGGGACAGTTTTGAACAAAAGCCATAAGTGGTTCCAACCAGTCTAGCTCAAAAGGTTGTATCTCACACTCTATCAGTTGAAAGAAATTATTGGAGGTAAAACACACAACCTGTAATAAACATAATTACATAAGAGAGAGAGAGAGAGAGAGAGAGACTACGTACAGTTGGAATGGCCAAAACTATCTCCAGAAGTACGGTGGAAGCAAGAGATCTAATAAACTTGTCACTAGGGTCGGAAGTAACGTGTATGTATGCCTTATCAAGGCGATATGTGTTTTCAAACGAGCAAGAGTCTCCCGAACAATCACAGATGACGACTGTCTTTAAAAGAGGAGAATCGATAAGCAAAAACCTCTTAATATCTTCCTCTTGTTTTATATGTGCATACGTATACATTAAGAGCTCTAGAGAAGATACTTCAATATTGAAATTAATCATGTTGTCTTCTATATGTCGCTCCACATGTAAATTTTTGAGAATAGGACAACTTGATAAAATTCCAACTTGAGAATCTTCGTCTTTGAACACAACAGAGAGAAGACATAGAGAAGTGAGGGATGCGAGGCAAGCCGTAGAAACAATATCCACGAAAATCTTGTTGGAAAGACTCAAAAAGACGAGTGTGTCGCATGTGTAAAGGCTCTCCGACAAGTTGATAGGTTTTTCTGACCACATGAGATCGAACTTTAGTCTGCACACCCCGCGATCAACCGCATTTTCAATCCACTTTGCCACATCAACATCAACAGGGCATTGTGAGCCAAGTTCGACATAAATGTATTCTAATATAGGTGCTTTGTGAAGTTGCAGTGACTTATCAAAAAAATGCCGAATGCTTTTGATAGACTGATAGTACCGTTATTGTTCTCATCGTACTGGAGTTCTGGCATCATCGTCCAAATATACCACCACCTTTTTGACAAAATCATGGTAGCCACTGCATCTTTTATTGGAACAAGCATCAATATCTTTACAAAGCAAATCGTCGGGTAAGGCATTAATCATGTTTTCACCTTCAGTTCTCTTTGTGGCTAAAGATTTTTTTCTCCATGAAATTACACAAGGAACAAGATCGAATTCGTTATACACACAATCACATTTTATATTACTATTTCTTTACAAAAAATAATAATAATAGGATAAGATAAAACTATGAAGATGTTAATAAAATGAAGACTTACTTTTCATTGCTTATGTTCATATTTTTTTAATATCTATAGATTTATGTATATTTATGGTACCATAAAAATGTTGATTTATATATGTAGATCTTTTTTTCTTTGACAAGATATTTATGTTATTATAAATATTCAAAATAGAAAAATGTACATTTATGTATTTAGATTTATGTAGATTTATTTATGTAGATTATGTATTTTTTTAACAACTATTTTATTAATAAAAAATTAATCTTATATGTAAAATACATAAGAGAATAAAATACAAGATTTTAAAAAAACTATAAAAAATAAATTTAGCAATATTTTCTTTACCTGAAATTATCAAATCCATGATACAATGGTAACAGAAACTAAAGTAAAAGTGTATAATTCTTAAAAATTCTCTTCTATTCTTTCAATATTCAAAATCGCCTCTTTTTCAAACTTTTATGCATCAAGGGTGGAAATGAATTTGTTTTTTGCATGTCGAGCTTATGTCACTAAATGACAAAACTTGGTGTTATGATCACCAATTTTTAACTATCTATTTCTACTTTTAAACCCATTTTTATTGCGACCAATCCTCTTGCATCATGTCAGTAGCAGGCCCTACCAGAATGATGACTCCTTCACTTTGGTCTGTATAGGTGGTGAATTTCCTAAACATAAGGCATGTTGTACTAGTCCACCTGCTCTCATCATGCACAGCTTGGATGGGACGAGTCGAGAGAAAAAGGAGTATAAGTAGGAGAGAACAAAGAAGGAGGAGGAGGGGAAGAGTTATCAGCCTCTCGCCCGGAGGCCGATCCAAGATGCCCAGTAGGAGAGCATTCTTCTGTCTGTCAGAAGGAACATTAGCCGAGATAAGCTCTTTCCATCCTCTAAATCCTTTTTTCATCACTATGAGGAGGAAGTTCCAATCCATCCTCACCATGACTCATTGATACAGAGTTTTGAGTCTCTTCTCAATCAAACTCTAGACTAATCAGTTGTAGCATAGCATAGGGTCTTTATCAATCCAAAGGAGGAAGTTCCAACCCACCCTCACCATGACTCATTGATACAGAGTTTTGAGTCTCTTCTCAATCAAACTCTATACTAATCAGTTGTAGCATAGCATAAGATCTTATCAATCCAAAGGGGTTATGAATAGATGCCACTAGAATCATGAGCAGAAAGCTTTAGGTCAAGTGAATCAAAGAAGGAGTGTTGCTTAGCAACTAAACTATCAACCTAAGTGATCAAGAACCAAACAGAATCTAAGAGAGAACAACTTATCAATGATCAAAAGCAAAACAGAGCAATAAAAACAGAGTAGATAGCAAATTCTAAATTCAAATAAAAGAGAAGAAGGATCCTAGATGTGGTTATTGACCTTGGGGAATTCAAAGGCAAGAGCTGTTTCAAACATCATTGACAATGCAAGCAATGCTGATTCCTAGCCATAGAATTCACAATCAAGCAACTTAAGTTAATCTCTTGACAAATAACCCTTTGCTAATCACCCTAACAAGAACTAACCCTCATTAGTGCTAGAACAATCAACAACCATGCAAAACAAGCTTTATTCAAGTCAAAATACTCCCCAGACAGTCAATCTCTTGAGCTAAGGCCAGTAGATCCTCTATTAAATAAGATCAGCATTTTATCAAACACTTGGTAGGCATAAGATGAAGCATAAATCTAGATTCATGTTACCAAGACAAATCTAGTCTAAACACAGATTAATAGAGGGAAATCAACCTAATTAAAGACTAATAAGCCCTAATCAAGCCTCTTAATTTCCTTAATCTACCACATCTAAGAACTCTAAAAGTTACTACTCACTCATCTTCATGGAAATCATCAAATCAAGAAGAGAAAGGATGATAAACATGATTAAGAGGGAGATTAGAGAAGAAATTAAAAGACAAATACAAAACTTTAATTAAAAAGATAGACTTGTTCTTAGAAAACTCAAAAGCAATCAGAAAACTAAGTAAGAACAAGACTTATGCTAAAAACCATTAGTCCAAGCCTATTTATAGTAAAAGACAAAAACTCTAAATGAATAGCAAAGTTATAATTAAAAGAAGTTCGGATTAGGCTCACATCTATCATAAAAGATCGATGTGGATGATCGATGCTGGTTTCTGATACAATACAAAAAAACAGGTGTATTGTATCACTTTATTTAAATATTTGTATTAGTTGTAATTGATACAAAGAGGTTTTACATTACTTGTAAAACTGACTCTCAATGTGCTGATGCAAATAATTAACATCAGTTAGCTATCAATTGATGCAAATATATTTTACTTTTGCATTGATTGTTGAAATCGATGTCAATATGTGTCAATTACAAAAAACTGATGTTATCATTTGCATCAATTTTTATTAATGATATTAGTATTTGTGACGGTTATAATAAATGATGTTAAAATTATTTTAGTTTAATATTATGATTATATTCAGATGTTAAACATAATTTATTTTTATTATTATTTTTATAAATATTTATAATAATATTATTATTTTATGCATCAATAATTTTTTGATCTTTCAAAAAATTCAAAATTAATTTTATTGGCTAGTAAATGTAAATATAAGGTACTTAAGTTTTATATATATAGACATGTTTTCTCTTTCATTTTTTCTCAACTAGCGATGTGGGACAAAATACAAAAAGTTAGTTACATCAGTTTTAACTGATATAAAATTTATATTATTTTTAAATGATGTTAACCAAAATTATTGATTACATCGATTATTTAACTGATTTAAATACATAATTTTATATCAATTTTATTTAAGTGATGTAAACTGATATAAATTTGTATCAATTTTATTGAACTGAAGTTAAATAATCAATAAAAGCATCAATTATGATAAATGATGTTAAATTATATATTTTGTATCATTTATTAATAAATAATTTAAAATTTATATCATTTAGTTTTGTGATACAATTTAAATGATGTAATCAATACTCTGTCGTGAGTTCAAGAACATAGATATTGTAATTCAAATGATTCGCCATAGCAGCAATCATCGTGGATTTACCTGTCCATGGTGGTCCATGCAATAGGTAAATGTCTATAAACTGAAAATGTAGCAATCATATGAGGTAAAAAAACATGAAAATTCAATAGGGCCACCAAATAATGAAGTGTAAATTCAATAGGGCCACCAAAATTAGATTGTATTGAATTTGAAGCTAATCTAAACTTTGTAGATATTTTGGTTGTAACTTGTAAATATATTTAAGATGCAACTGTATGTTAAATGTGAAGCTAATCTAAATTTTGTAGATATTTTTCTCTGTTATTTCCTGACAGATTTTCTATGATCACATGCTATAGATTAGCAACAGAGAATGTAACAGTAGTAGCTGTTCGGACTGAGACAGGATCTATTTTATTTAACGAATCTTTGATCCAACTTTTGAGATAGAACAATCTATAATCTTCTCTAGTGATGGAACTAGAATTTTTTTTCACCGGAATTAATATAATATAAAATATAAAATATAAAAATGTAATATATTTTATATACTTTTAACTATTTTATAGTTATATATAGTAAAAAAAATACAGAACATTTTTTAGTAATATATAATTTTTATTAATTAATTTGTAGTTAGAGCTAGTTTTGCTACGCTTGTCCTAGTAGCTCGTCAGCAGATAATGTGGAGTTCGGATTTTGGACATTAATCTCATTACTTAATCCAACACAACAGTTGCCCCCATCCTATCAGTTGCCCCCATCCTATTAAGTGAATGTCGTCGGGCTTGACTGGTGGACATTTTGTGGACTGCCATGTTTCCTTCTATCTACCCGTCCAGCTGGTTTAGTAATTAATTCGTCTTTGACGGATTGTACGGCAAGGATGAAGAAGTGCGAAAGGTCGTAGCTTTTTAGTCGTTTTATACAACGTAAATTCTTTCATCATAATTGCTTTTATGATGAACGTTGGAGATGAGGAGAATCTTAATACATCATTATCTCGAACTCTGCAGATGACGTCATATCTCAACTTAATGCTGATTGTTTTCGAAACGAACGGTCTAGACTGAGGGAGTGAGAGATACGCAAGATCTCAATAATTGTTATCGAGGTGACCTTATAAAATAAACTTTCACGTCTTGATTGGGAACGCAAAAGTCGACGCCACATCGAGGTAACTGTTTTTTTTCCTTCTATTTATTTACTCGTCATGCTTACTGTTTGAGCTTTTATCAGAAAAGAGAACATAGCGAAAATGTTCTTCGTCATTTTGCTTTTAAAATTGTCTGAATTTAAGGTTTTGCCTCCGTTTAGGTCGTTCTAAATTTCTTCCCATCTTTTCCTTTCAAATCTTGTCTTTCTCCCATTATATTTACGTATAGCTTCTTTTGATAATGGCATCGTCATTGATATCGAGGGGTAAGAGAGTAGATGAATGGCCCGCAGTCAAGGCATACGGTCCTCACGAGCCAGCATGGCTTGCAGCAAAACACATCAAGGAGCTTCGCGAGAAATATGTCCCTGACGATGTTGAGATTTCTTCCTAACGATTCAGAGTCTTCGAAGCTAGTTATGGAAGGCTATTGGTGTGCGTATTCGACATACTTCACCAAATGCCAGCTAACTTTCCCAATTCCAGCGACTCTGCTGGAGACTCTGGCGGAGCTGCAACTAGCACTCCCTCAAATGTGCCTTAACTTTGTCCAGACGGTGATTGGCCTCGCGGTTCGAGGTCGAGAAGAGAATCAGTACTTTGACGCCAAGAGCTTCCTGCTATTGTGCTCTGTGAAGCACAATGTCATGCTCTCGGGGACGTGCTTGAGGAGGCGCTGGAGGAGGTCCTTATGAGGGATAGCTGGAAGGAGAAGGTGCTCTTCTTCCGTCTCAGCCCGGCCTCGATTGGAAACTTTGACCCGTCACGGGTCCCAACGGCATGGTCGACTAGTGTTGGTTAAAGAAACTACGGTTTAGGTTCCTTATAACGCTACATGCTTCTCTTGTTTTCTATTTGTTTTGGTGAATCTTGTGGCTTTGTTTTGCAGA